TCAACCCCCATTTGACCCCCCGGGGCAATATCAAAATTCCAAAACCTTACTGCACATCTACATGACACCACCAACCATCTCCCAAAAGATGATTAGCCTACTGTGTAAAATGTAAGAGGAGTTCAGGGAAGACGGGGCTTTTTGCATAAAAAACGTCATTTTTCGACCCCCAAATGACACCCTGCGGCAAAAACAACAGTCCGAAACCTAACTGCACATCTACATGACACCACCAACCATCTCCCAAAAGATGATTAGCCTACTGTGTAAAATGTAAGAGGAGTTCAGGGAAGACGGGGCTTTTTGCATAAAAAACGTCATTTTTCGACCCCCATTTGACCCCCCGGGGCAATATCAAAATTCCAAAACCTTACTGCACATCTACATGACACCACCAACCATCTCCCAAAAGATGATTAGGCTACTGTGTAAAATGTAAGAGGAGTTCAGGGAAGACGGGGCTTTTTGCATAAAAAACGTCATTTTTCGACCACCATTTGACCCCCCGGGGCAATATCAAAATTCCGAAACCTTACTGCACATCTACATGACACCACCAACCATCTCCCAAAAGATGATTAGCCTACTGTGTAAAATGTAAGAGGAGTTCAGGGAAGACGGGGCTTTTTGCATAAAAAACGTCATTTTTCGACCCCCATTTGACCCCCCGGGGCAATATCAAAATTCCAAAACCTAACTGCACATCTACATGACACCACCAACCATCTCCCAAAAGATGATTAGCCTACTGTGTAAAATGTAAGAGGAGTTCAGGGAAGACGGGGCTTTTTGCATAAAAAACGTCATTTTTCGACCCCCATTTGACCCCCCAAGGCAAAATCAAAATTCCAAAACCTTACTGCACATCTACATGACACCACCAACCAACTCCCAAAAGATGATTAGCCTACTGTGTAAAATGTAAGAGGAGTTCAGGGAAGACGGGGCTTTTTGCATAAAAAACGTCATTTTTCGACCCCCATTTGACCCCCCCGGGGCAATATCAAAATTCCGAAACCTTACTGCACATCTACATGACACCACCAACCATCTCCCAAAAGATGATTAGCCTACTGTGTAAAATGTAAGAGGAGTTCAGGGAAGACGGGGCTTTTTGCATAAAAAACGTCATTTTTCGACCCCCGTTTGACCCCCCGGGGCAAAATCAAAATTCCAAAACCTTACTGCACATCTACATGACACCACCAACCATCTCCCAAAAGATGATTAGCCTACTGTGTAAAATGTAAGAGGAGTTCAGGGAAGACGAGGCTTTTTGCATAAAAAACGTCATTTTTCGACCCCCATTTGACCCCCCAAGGCAAAATCAAAATTCCGAAACCTTACTGCACATCTACATGACACCATCAACCATCTCCCAAAAGATGATTAGCCTACTGTGTAAAATGTAAGAGGAGTTTAGGGAAGAAAAGTGTGACAGACGGACGGACGGACGGACGGACGGACATGAGTAACAACAATATACCCGAACTTTCTTTAGAAAGTGCGGGTATAATTACATATATTTGGTTTTATTTCATTTTGAGCATCTGGCTTTTGAGAAGAATTTCTAGGATTTGTTTCTTTAAGATTCGAAAAAGTGTTTTTCTTATTCAAACAATTATCTATATGTTAAGATTTAAAATTTGAATAATTTGTGCAAATATTAGTTAAAGAACACGTGCAAATTGATTCATTACAATCAAAACAGGGATCTTTCAAAGGATCAATGCAAAATAATTTTTGACATTGATAGTGGGACAGTTATTCGTATTATCGGCACAGCTTTCATTGCTGTGATCCTACTTTGTTTCCATGTCGGCAGTTTCATGAGGAATGGCCTTAATTTTTCTCCACAGTAATAGCATGTCTGCACAGATGAGGACCGCTGTTGTTTAAGGCTTTTCACATAGGCATTGTACAGCTTGAGAAGCAAGGAAGTACCACGATCAGACAAATGAATGCCATCTCTCCAAAAGGAAGGGGAATTCTATTGCTTGAATGATTTGCTGATCTCGATAAGCGTAGCACCATACTCCTCACAAATATATTTTAAACACTCATTAATTTCGGTAACATTGGCATCACGTCTCGGAATCACTTCTGATATAAATACGGAAATGGTATTCTTAAGATCGGCGATTATTCCGATGAAATCATTCTAAATCGCATCTATGTGCGCAGGTTAGCTACATCATTACCGCCAGCCTGGGTGATGACATTTGTGATGGAAGATAAATCACATTCTTGTAGTTTTGTACGGATGTGTGATATGCTAGCACCACGATTATTACTAACATTCACACTGGAATCTAAGCCTCGGGTTCGTTGAAGAATAGAACTTCTGATGACCATGGTAGTTTTTTGGGTTCGGTCTCTTGGAGAAATAGATGGAGAAACCTCTGTGAAGTTTCCTCGTTCCTTAGGAGTCGGTATAGGCTGGCTCTCTCTGGATGGGTGTAAGTAAGAGTTGTTCTTTGTCGCCACCATTTTGTTTTTCTGTGTGGGTTGTGAGCTTTTCCATACGGAAATGGAATCTGTATCCATGGTATCTGTTGATGTACTGGTGCTTTTTTGTCTACACTAAATGTACATTGGCTGTGTCTCGATATTCCAGTTTTAATAGACATTCCTTCTGTCATAGTTGCCTTCTGTTTCGTTTGTATTCTTGGAGTTTGTGTGAAAGCGTTGGCACAGGCTTTTGTTTGTTGTGCTTCCAAAAGCTGTTTCTTTAGAATATTTACTTCCTGTGTCAGCAATTTAACGTACAGATTCAGGAAGAAGTTGTACATTTTCTGAGCTGCTACCCTGGTGGCAATCTATCTCCGCATTTGAATCATGTTGTTTTGAAGGTCTTGGAGTTGATGTGCAGCTTGGTTGATTGACAATAATTTTGCAATCTGTGAGAGAGTCATTTAGGCTGCTATCAATTTCACTATTTACTTCGTCAAGAAAGTCATTCTTGTACCATTCGAATGCACCAGTTCCTTGAATAAGAATTGTATTTGTGCTTCTGTATATAGTCACTATAACTGACTCGCACATCGATTTATAGATGCAACCATATTTCTTATTATTTCCATGAAAAAGAAGCATCTTAAGCACAGATGACACAAACTCGTGCTGCTGGCCATCATAGTTAATGGTCACACTCTCTGCATTTAGTTTAACATGCAGAAAGTCTGGAATACTCACTGACTGTGTTAAGTCCTGTACCTTATTTGTACCAATAAATTATTGTGAAAATCCATTAAATGAGTTCAGTATCGATGTAAAAAGATTCGAATTTGCACTGAGATCCATCATTTCTTTATCATTTAAGCTATTAACCTGACTAAAGGTAAGGCACTAAAAACACGCCTTATCTCTTCGGCGTCTTATCTATCATCGATAGATGTATATCAATTAACAATGGTAATGTCCATTTTTTTGCCGATACAATATACTGTAAAAGTAATACATTTGGCTGTGTATATTTTTAGCACTTTTGGCGGAAAGAAACTTCCGCTAATTCAAGAACAACGCTAAATGGGTCGCACTTATATACATAAATAAGAAAATGAAGAAATGCGCTAAATCAAATCCACACTAACTAGTTCAAAAAGCAATATCCGGCAAAAATATCGTACACGCTAAATATAATACATTTACAGTATTCTGGTGAGTTTGAGATAAAAGATAATGAAACATAAAATCTGCTTCATATTTAGATATTTTACTTGAAATAGACGTTAATGGTAATCTAACAACCTAGCCCTATGATAAACGTGATGACTTTAACTTTTCTATTGCCAATGTCAACTTCCCTTACTTATGCAACAATACACCTTCATCACCTGCATACGGAGTATATGTATCTCAGCTGACTCAATATTCATTCTCGTTGAAATCATTTCGTAAGTTTTAAGGTCGATACCATGACCTTGTCAACAAATACAATTTATCATTGAGTTAAATGCTGCTTACTGACGTTTTTCATACTAATCGTTATTGTTAGTCCATTATATTTATAGACTGAATTTACGACGGATTTCCTGTTATTTCCCGATCATGAGAAAAAGCACATAGCTGGTGTGACCGGTCAGTAGGGGATGCTCACTCCTTCATGGCACCTGATCCCATCTACGATGTTTTGGAGTTCCGTGTTTTCTCTGCTCCCAATATTATATTGTTCAATGGACTTTTGATCTCGAATAGTATTCGTTATCTCCATATATTTCATAATCCATGTAAACATTTTGACTCCATTGTTCATAAAAAAATGCAAAAGATGCGATTGTATTGAAAACATAGGTTTTTTATGCATTGCATGTACGCCTATGTGCATGCATGTGCATATTGACAATGTAATTTTTTTTCTACATTTATGATATGTTTATATATTGTGAGTATCGAAGCATAACATTATAAATGCAAAATATACGGCTATATTAGATATATACATCATTTTATGCATTGCATGTGCCTGCATATGCATGCATATGACAAACTAGTAATAATTGTAACGGGGAAAATTAGAATTGATTTTATTACTTGTTCATGCATAAATATGAAAAATATCAAATCAAAGAGAAATCAACACTTTGTTTTTTAAAGCAGAATATTGTAACAGGTAAATTAAAAAAAAGTTAATATAATCTGAAAGATCGCTTCAATAATTCCTATACTGCTAAATATGAAGCCAAAGTAGTAGCCAAGAAGCGATGACAATGCCACTCGAATAATAATGCTTATCAACCAATTAAAAGCTTCTTTAAGTTTCTCTCTGCCTTTGTCTCGATCACCCATCCCAAGTCGTTGAATTGCATCTTCTGCCATATTTGATATGTGATTTAGAAAACATTCCGGCTTGTTTTGCTCAATCATTTTTTCTATTTTTTTCAGTAATATTTTCACATCCAATTCACGCCTCGTTCTATTTTGTGGATCTCCGAAAATAACATACCGATAGTTTGTATCATGCATGAGTTTGGTTAGAAACGATTTCTGATCACCTGAATCTATAAAATGTGGTATATTTTTTTCTTTAGAATATGGTACATGAGTAAAAATAGCAATAGTGTATTTGTAAAGCTCAGAACCAAACACATTATAGTATGCTTGTAGACTTTCTTCGTCGTAAATGTTAATTCTGTCAGGCCAAAGAACGAAAAGAATAGCATGGGGCCCAGGAGTCATGAATCCAAAACCTTGTGCAATCTCAACAAGTGTACTGAAGTAATCGTATCCTAATGCTGCATCTCCAAGCCCAGGTGTATCAGCAACAAGTATGTCCTTGCCGTCTCTCTTAATCTTTTCAACTTGACACGTTTTTGTTGTTGATTTCGCTGCCAAATCATGTGCAAGGAAGATATCTTTACCAAGGATAGCATTCCCTGTCGTGCTTTTTCCTACTCCAGCCTTCCCGATTAAAAGTAGACGTCGTTCATTTGAACGACCTCCTATCAAATATAATATGCATTTTTTTAATGAAAATTCAAGGAATAATGAATAAAAACAAGACCTCACTAGAATGAAAATCAGGCATATTCATATTACTGAGTAAAGCCACTCACCTTTAGAATTGCAATCTACTTCTGATGATGAAATTTGAGGCATGAAAATGACGACGAATAGCATATACACTTTCATGTTGCTGTTCATAATCTCTATAACGATAATGCAAATCAAATATTTTAGAAAAAAAAATTATTCAGAAGTTTTAGTAAATACAATTTATCATTTAGTCAAATGCTGACTGACGTTTTTCATACGAATTGTTAGTCCATTATTTTTACAATGCATTGACAACGGATTTTTGCGTGGACCATGAGGTCCACGCAGTAAATATATAAGCGAGGCTAAACAGGATGCCCTGGGCATGCCTACGCATGCGCGAGAATTCTAGAGAGTTCCAATCGGCAATCTTCGGCTGACTCCGCTTCACCAATCGCAACTTCTCGGGCCTTTTCGACTAGCTTTCCGACATTTGACACAGAGACCCGAGATGATGCGATTCAGAGTTCATTGGCGGATCCAAATTTTAATCTTGTACACATACTTTTAAACACGAACTAAACATTGAATCTATGGCACAAGCATTTTAAACAGTATGAAGAACTTACATTTAGCTAGTCGTTGAATCTTTTAAAAACCTAGAACTAGTCGTTGAATGAAGTTTTTAATTCAAGTTCTTAAGTTTTTAAAAGATAAAACAAGTCTTCACAAGCATTAAATTTGTGCATCAAGGCTCGCAAAGAGAATTAGATATATATGGATTCAAATACAGCTTGATACAAGCCTTTAGCAACGGTATTCCATGTGGGGGAGAGGGGGGGGGGGCTCCAGAAAAAAAATCTGCGTACTACAGACCTGAACTGAATTTTGAAACTAAAAAAAAAAATCAGTTCAATTCAGTTCAGGTATATGTTAATTACCAGCCATTATGGGTTGTATATGTATCAAAATAGCCTGGATTTGGAAATAACAAAACTATGTGCTAATCAGAAATTAAAATTTAACAATTTTGCTGTGAAAGTACTATCGGTCAAAGTAGAGCGATCACTGTAGAAAATGCCAACGAACCTACATTAATATCCAATAGACTTAACAAATTTTCTTTGATTAAATTTCGGTTAAAAGAAAACATGCATATGGTCCACGTATTGTAGTCCTTTTTTTAAAGGACAGCAACTTGTTCCGTTACTACCTGATCATGACAAGGAGCACACGGCCAGTGTGACCGGTCAGCAGGGGATGCTCCATGGCACCTGATCCCACTCTAATGTTTCGGAGGTCCGTGTTTGCTCTGCTCCTATTTTGTATTGTTTTATGGACTTTGAGGTTGAAAACTGTTCGTTATCTCCATATCCTTCTTCATTAGTTAGATGCAACAGTGAACTCTTTTCCTGCCAGTATCTACTGCAACTATATATTTTAATACATTTAAGTGCATGGAGCATTTACAGGTGATGTGGCATATTTCCTGTTTTAAAATAAGTAGCGTAATATAATTTCATAAAAAAAGATTTCTTTATTAATTCGGATATGACACGCGAGTCCAAAATATTAATATTTGTTATTACTTGCGGAGGATGCAACCAATTCTACATCGGCGAAACGGTCACCACATTGAGAGCCAGAATTTGGGTGCATAAACAACATTTCAAGTCCCCGAGTACCGTTAGATCATAATCAGCGAAAATATAACGAGTATGTACTGACAAAACGTCAGAGATACTCAAGCTGTAGAAAGTCAACTAGGAAGTGTCATTAATATCCTATTATGGTATAAGATGAGGGCTACTGAGTTCAATCTTCTGTTGAATAAAATACATGTACATGAAACAAAATTCATATATTGAATTTAACAAGAACAAGACAATTCAAACAATTGTGGTCCACCGCTTTCGGTATCTTTATGGGTGTGATGCCATTTTTATGACATATTTTGTCAAATCTTGTCAGGTAATGCACATGTCAAATATGAAAGCCCTATCTCTTCTCAATCAAAAGTTATAAGAAAGTGAAACACTGATGACTCAGTATGGCAAAATAGCGAAGATTAAAGTTTTCTTAAACATATCGAGACCACTAGATTTTTCTGACGTCAGCATAAATTTGCATGTAGATTAGCTATCTGTTTACTTTATCTACTGCTGAATCAGCTGCAATGCATTGTGGGCAACTAAAAGTACCCAGCTGTGTTGAAAATAAAGGGCAACTTGAATTGTCCCTTGGAAACTTATTTTCAATTCTTTTTTGAGATTTGTGAAAGAAGGACATGGAGATAACGAACATTATTCAATCTCAAAGTCCATTATACAATTTACAAAATAAGAACAGAGCAAACACGGACCTCCGAAACATCAAAGTGGGATCAGGTGCCATGGCGGAGTGAGCATCCCCTGCCGACCGGTCACACCCGCCGTGTGCTCCTTGTCATGATCAGGAAATAACGGAAAAAATCTGTCGTCAATGCATTGCATAAATAATGGACTTACAATTAGTATGAAAAACGTCAGTCAGCATTCGACTCAATGATAAACTGTATTTGCTGACAAGGTCATTGTATCGACCATAGAACTTACAAAATGATGACTTTAAACGAGACTGCTGATATGCTTGTTTCGTCAACTTGCTTGTCAATAACTTACCTCGTTTTAGAAATTGTTCATACGTAGAGCATGCTCTTGCATATCGAATCAACTGAGATATATATACTCCGTATGTAGTTGATGAAAGTATATTGCTGCATAAAGATAGACGATAGAAAAGTTAAAGTCATCACGTTTATCATATAGCTTGGTTGTTAGATTACCATAAGTGTCTTTTTCAAGTGAAATATCCAAGTATGAAACAGAAGTGTCGGACTCTGTGGTATCTTTTATCTCAAGCTCACCAGGATATATCGTATCGACGTAGGTATGGAAATTACCATTATTAATTGACAATACGTCGTCGACATATCTAAATGTCGAATTGAAGGCCACAACAAGTGTTTTTCTTCTTTTCACGCATAGGATTTTGCATAAATTCTGCTTCATATGAATATAAAAATAAGTCTGCTAATAACGGAGCGCAATTTGTACCCATGGGAATTCTAATAGACTGTTGGAATACCTGGTCTCTTAAAACCACATAGATGTTGTCAACCAGAAACCCGGTAATTCCGGAGATAGATTTAGGAATTAATTTGGATCGCTGTTGGTGAAAGATGTTTATCCCCCCTCCAAAGAATGGAGCGCCTAAATGCATTGCTCCTCATGCATGTATCTCTGCACAACCCTTTTAATACAGTCACGAGTTAACTATCCACTCACATGGTTATGTCAAATGTTTTATTTTTCTGTTTATGACATATAGGCGTCGGAACCGGGGGGGGGGAGGGGGGTAAGCCCCCCTTTTTCTGCAAATATATGTGTAATATATGTAAAGGCATTGAAAAATGGGTTTACCTTTTTTGTTGGTTGATCCCCCCACTTTCAATTAGCGCCTCTTACTTTCAATTTGCTTCCGACACCTATGTAAAACAAAAACATATAGCTGGTCGAAGAATTAAATCAGACCGTATCGTTTTTAAATCCGATGTCAACTGCCTTTTAATCCGTGCGTCTGTCTTGCAAAACATAACACATTTCCGTCGCTTTTTTTCCAGCAAGTACACATGTACTTATATTGCAGATGCTTGAAATTTTAGCACATACTTTGTTATGGCATGTCATATGATAGGACTTATTTTTGTTTGAATCTGATGTCAACTTCCTATTTATCCGTGCATATTCCAGTGTTACGTTTCACCCGCTTGATGTTTTACCCGTATGTGAAAGTAACCTGCGGGTCTCTCAATTCTGTTTGTTGAACAAAGAATAAAGATTTTAATAAAAGTACAAAGAATTTTATTAATAGATAAACTCTTATCTGGTTCTTCAGTAATAAATCACTTTCTATAAATAGTATTAATGATAAGTAATGATTTAGTATTCAGGCTTTAGCGGGAGTACAATTCATTTGTGGGAGTAATTCTCTCCCATAACTTTATCCCGCTCTAGAATTTACACTTATTACAATGAATATGAAATAATTTATATAAAAGATTCTATAAATAGATTATCCCAAATGTGGGTCAGGCATCAGCTCCCACTAATTAAAGTTTAGAATTAACAATTACCCAACGAAACTCCTCAGTTGTGGTATGTGACATATCCGTATGCGAGGAGAAGTGTTCTGCCAATCAAATCAGCTGATCGCTGTTTATATATGACGTTCTTGTGTATTACGTTACTACGGATATGACGTTTTACACACGCATCAGTACCCGCGTATAATATTCGATCGGGTTAGGAAGCCATGTTGCCTATAGATCGCATGTACGGGTTAGGATGCAGTTTTCGATAGAAACGTGATAAAAGATGATTGTAGGTAATACACAAGTGCTACACAAGACTTCAGATAGGATTTATCTGCTCAATAATAGGTTTAAATGAATTATCTGTTTGGTTTATAAAGTATACATAAGTTGCAAGTGGATCCCGTTCGAGGAATTTCGGGTTATAAACATTTCGATAGATAGTTCTATCTCAAAACACAATACAGTAATCTTAAATAATAAGATTAAATGCAAATACTATATTTGCATGTTTCTGATCATTATTTTATGGATTTGTTGTTACAATAATATATTTATCCAATCATATAACAAAAGAGAATTAAAGAAGCTACGTTCGTAACACCAGTAACCGAATCTGTGTAAATTTTAATAACATAGATTATTATAGAGTCTATTTATAGTCCCTACATAATCTATACAAACGCAAACAGTTCATAATACTACATATTCACCGGATTTTAGGCCGTAATCACCGGAGGGTCAATGCGCGTGCAACGGCATTGTGACGTCACAATGAAAACATCAAACAATGTTGTAAACAATGTTTGCAATGGCTGCAGCGAGCTACGTATCTGAGCAGGAAAACAATGAGTCAAACCTATTTCAGGATTATTTTTTAACATTTGGACGTCTTACACATAGAGAAACTCGGAATGGAAAACACAGAGGTTACAAACAGTAATCTGGAGATTTTTTCTTTTTTTTTTGCAACAATGGAAGATCGCAAATAAAAATGGTGTCGTCATACAGGCTTCAATGTCTTATTTATTCAAATCCCGA